TTCCTCTTTGAATCAAGATTTGCTAGTAGCAACTATGTATGACTAGACTAATTAAAAACAGCACATTTTATACCAGGCACGGTGTCTGGTAAACATTGAGGTCAATATTAATGGCTGAAAGAACATGCATATTCAGGAATGAGGTAAATGGTGAGCGCAATTTCCTGACATTTTTTGAACAAACCTAGCTGAGGTGATCATTCATAATAAAGCCAAATTAATTATCATTTTTAAGAGGATGCCATAGTTACAATGCAAAAAGAGATAGTTAACGTTAGGTTTATCTATGAAAACTTGTATTTTAATCAATTAATCAAATATCCGTAATGAAGATCTCCTAATATTTGCTTCAGGGCTATTCTGTTCGGAGATAATGAATAGCATATTATTTTGTAAATGAGGGCGTGAAAAAGCTTTTAACAACAACTGACCTGGAGGGGATAATTTCGTTCTTGTTGTCGCCGTACCAGCGATATTTGCCGCCAGGCACTGCCATGTCCCAATGTCCTCAGGTTGGAAGCTGAAGATCGTCAGTGAAGTCTCCGTGCCCTCCAGGTTGACGTGGATCCTGCCGCCATCGCTGAAGCCAAGAGGTACAAGCCTGAAAAAACGTTTAAATAAGTGTATATATGACAGGGTTGTTGGTTGCCCAATAAGAAAGAGACCATTTTTGTACATGGATTAGATCGACCCTTCATTTAGTCCAACTGGCCAAAATGAACAATATTTGGCAGAGTAATAAATGAATGAATAATCATATATGCATGAAGCAGATTTATCAGACAAGTTTGAGTCTCATTCTAAATAAATTTTACTTAACAGAATAGCAATATGATTAATTTTCGAGAATTTTTGGCTTTTGACGATATCAGTTAAGGTCACAGAGGGTTGGAACCAAAGCACCCCATATGGTCAAAACCCTCGTAAATTTAACATCAAAATGTATGTATGAGATTGAGATAGAGTGGAGGGAAGAATGCATAATTAATAACGAATGTATTCTATACGAATAGAAGTTGGGTTTCAAGGGATTTCTTGGTTTATAAATGTTAAGTTTCATTGACTCGTTATCTTGAATGTGACTGCCCAAACAAAAATGTCGGTTATGTAACAGATGAAAGTTTAGTACAATTTCACTAAAGTAGAAGGAGATTGTCTATGGAACAGTGCCAACCAAAAGGCTGATCGAAGATAGTGTCCCATCGTCTTTAAGTGGAATTGATCTCTGTAGCTCTTCATATACACATTACTCAAATCTAAAGTAATTTGAAAGAATGCAATTTACTAGGTCGAACAAGGGCATCTAACCCTTCGAAGTTCCATCGGAAAGACTAGTTGGAATCGAAATAAGTGTGATTTTAAATGGTTGCAAACATGCTAGCAGGGTGCTTAGAATTATGCGCGAAGTAACTTGATTAAAGGGAAGTATAGTTTTAGATAAGAAAAATCTACTTTTACGTCTAGCACTAGCACTATTTTGGGTACGTTGCATGAAAAAAAATGAATTGGTGAAAACGCCATATTAAGCGAAAACACAATCCTGCGAAAATCCAATCCTGCTAAACCTAGACTTAAACAATAAACCAACCAATTTTAAACATGAATTCCTAAATAGCTTTCTTCTTACACTTGTTCAACTCTTTATGAGATGAGGATAAAGCAGACAACTTCGTCTGATGAACTGCAAACTGGTGCAACAATGAAAATGGGTTAGACAAGAATTTAGGATTATTTGAAGTAAAATAAAGCTTTGATTAAAAATTATTTATTTTGTCGTCTCAATTGGCTACTTTATAGCGGAATTGCAACAGCTTAACATTTGCAATTACAACCGGCGCATTACTCAGATGCGAGCAGTCAATATTCTGACAGATAGCGGTTGCTACACACTTTTTGGTACTTACTTGCCATCATTGTGCCAGGAGATCACTGGCACCGGGTTCCCTTCTACCAGGGCAGTTAGAACGACCTTCTGGCCTAGAGGCGAGACCAACTGCGGTGGCGGCTTCTGCACGAACCGCGAGGCTTGTGGAGCTAAGGGAGGCTTTGGATTCACATTGAGGGTGAACAACAGTTCCGCCTGTCCTGCGGTGTTCATGGCCAGGCAGCGATATGTACCGTTGTCGCGTTCAGGCGTTGGGACTTCCAGTTCAAGAACATGGATGTTATCAGCTATGGTCAAAATCTGAGGCAAAACACAGACAAGGCATCGCGAAATTTCACCATTTATGCTCTTTAAATAGAAAAATTAAAGCTTGTCGACCAGATTTATGAGTAGTGCTTAACTCTAAATTTGCGTCATCGATATATATATATATATATATATATATAGCATATTAACATAAAAATGTATCGTCTATGGATTTATCAAGCATATGCAGCCATCTAGTGTTGGCTCTCGAAAAATGCAGTACTTAGTAACATAATTCATAAATAACAAAGACAAATGGTAAATTCTGATATTTTTACAGGATAGCAAGATAGCCAAGAACTATTCCGATTAAACTAAAACAGCAACTAAGGCTGTGCCATAAAATGGTTTAGGTTCAAGATCATATCACGGCTGATGCTGATTTTCACTCGTATGCATTATCAGCAGTGGGTGAGAAAATAAATATTATGATGCACTAATGGAGGCTTCGAGTAATCTACGAGTCCGTCCTTGTTAAGAAACCTTTCAAGGACAGTCCATTTAAAAGCAGTCTACAGAGTCAAGATCCCTCTTAATATCCACCAAATTTTGATGGACAAAATTTTTCAATTTAAACGATTTTTCCAAGAGTCTACAAAAAATGTGTTATATTCACCATTGATATGCATGAGAGGATCTGTTTAAGGTAGGGTTTCATTCTGTTCAGAATGAAACATCCTCAGTAATTATGATAAGAAGATACATCTTTATGTTTCGATGCAAGAAACTTTGTCCCTTTTTGTTGATCGAGACAGCTGGTGCATTTTCCTATCCACTTGATATGTCCGCACTACAATTAAATTAGAACTCAGTGGATTATTACGACCATTAACAGACCTTTGCCTGTTGATTTTGGCTCATTTGGTCCTGGTGACAAGTTTCACTTGAATCTAAAAGACTTTTGAATGTTTTCCATGCTTATAAGATATTTTATGGTTTTCTTCTAGCCTATCTAACATCAAATCCCCACAATAGCCACAAATGATCTTATTCCTGACCTGATTAGAAGGCCATCTCTCCCAATGAAGGCATGAGAATTCAGAAATACACCATGAATTCTCACAAATTAGTAGCTTATAATGGGATTTTCCTTGTTGTTTGGCGGTCGCGTGTTAACAACCAACTTCAATATGGAGTCTTTATCAAACTATAGAAAAAATGCTATTAAAACTATATGCAATACCATTGCAGACCGTCGTGTCATATATAAATATATATATATATAATTATTATTAGTAGCACTCCACTCATAGCTATAGGAAAAATAGTGTTCACTTCATACAAACAGAACGTACCTTTTGCATGTTGTTCGGTCTTATTGGCTCGTGGTTGCGAAACCAGACCAATTCCGGGGTTGGCTTGCCATTTACCTCGACCTCAAAGCGGACTAGACCCCCACCCTCCTGACAGTCGATGCGGCCAGGGCAGATGATTCTTGCCCCCTGTAGGCTGATATTTGCTGGGGTCCAAGGAAGAGGACCTCGCAGAAAGCGAGGTGGTTCACTAACAGGTTGAATTGGCACCATAGACTCTGAGAGTGGCTGGACTTCCAACTAAATGCAAAGTATGGTTTAGAGAGAAGCGATGCAAGTGTGATCAAATATCCTGTGGCAAGGTAAAGTGTGTGATTATCTCGGCATTCGAGCGCGGACTAGATAGGCACTATTGCAGAGGCTGGAGTTAGATATCCATAAAAATGTTTAATTTATAATACAACTACTTGTATATCCTTATTCCGTTAGAAAATATAGTTTAATACGAAGTTCTTCATTAAGTAGGATTGTACCTTTAGGTTAGAAAGTGTACAAAATCTCTCTTAAATGATAAATTACTATTGGTTCATCTAAAAATGAATTGCAGCTTCCATTGGGTTCACCACTGTTATCATAATACACCGGCTACACCCAAAGTCATCCAGCTCATAACCTGCTGCGATTTGCATCATATGTTTAATATATTAGTATTTTTACTTAGCTTGTATGGAATTTTTTATACTATGTCACATATTTGCCTAGAACATGAAACCACATTTTAGCCAATTTTCATTCAGAATATTGGCACTTTACATGTTAGGCGAAGTAATATTCTTTAATCTAGTATTATGAGGGCATATATTATGTATTGATGCAGTTAAGGTGTACTTTCCCTCTACATAGGCTAGAATACGTACAGGAAATAACCATCGAATCTTAGCTTTTTTGCTTAAACTGCCAAATTGCTATGTTGATGAAATTACTATTCGGACGCGAAGAATAACTGGGTTTCAATAAATCTCTTAAGATCACATTGTTGGAAAGAATAGCATTTCGCATGAAAGTGCATGGAGAAGAATTTCGGAGGTTAATCTTACCAGAAAACGATGGATGATTCCCGTTCTAATGCAGTCTTTTGGCCTTAATACAACGTTCATGTTGATGTAGTTCACAAGAATTCCTCCTTTGTTTAGGATGAAAACAAGTTGAGCTTTCGTCCATCATATAATAAGCATGTGTGTGTATGTGTGTGTGTTTATGTTAACGAGCCCGCACACTCGAGCTAAAGTAACATGACCAATATGCAAGATAATTGCATATTAATTTTCGTTGTATATTTATGACTATATATATATAAGAGGTTAGATATTACCGGACAGTCTTTTTGACGTTGTGCTAGTTAATGTGAGACTTTTGCTAGTATGAGTTCCAGCTCTGATGATGTCTAGTATATGATGGAAGAAAGTTCAGCCTGCTTTTAACCCAAACGAGGGAGGATGTCTCGTTAACTGCATCAACCCGAATGCCATATTAAAGTCAAACGGCTGCAGTACAACGGGAATCAGCCGTCGTCTTCTGGTAAGATCTACTTTCGAATCGCTTATGCATGCACTTTCATGCAAAATGAAAGTCTCCCCAACCATGCTATTGGGACATTGGCAAAAATAAAAATAAATATTGTGAGATTGGATGATATAATCTATGGGTAAACCAGATGGTAAATAAGGGCTATCAATCTTTAATACGCTCCGACACAAGTGACTGATTCTAAAAGGTTAAGCATATTAACCAATTAGCTCATTTATACTATCACTTTCCTATATTGCATATAAAGTAGTTTAAAGTATTGATTCTGTATTAAGCTAACCTAAATGCCAAATTGAGCTGGTGATGGAATACATTTTTACAGATTGGTGCCGAAAGTATAAGGAGCAAATTTGGAATTTTTGGATAGGCTCCAAATGCCAATTACAATGTAAGTGCTTTCCCATATGTTTTCCACCAATAGATGTATATAGACACTTCCACTATTCACTTTGCATGCTTAATTATAGGTTTTATAATTCGACTGAAATAACAACTCTTTACATAATAGGCATCTCTAGAGATGCATGATCCTATTACGATCAAATGTAAACAGGACAGGTTGGAGTGTCAAGACAGCGAATAACTGGAGGATGTTGAACGATGCGAGAGGGGCCAGATTATGGGCGGTACATGTTTTCAGCAAAGGAAATAATGAGAGAGCAGTCTCAATTGATACATTTTGTTTAGTTGACGATAATTTTATTCGTGCACACCGGGAAATGAATGCCCTGAATACAAATAAACATGTGCTCAGATGGGGACATGTAAAAGATAATCCAGCTGTTATAAGGTAGACGTATTCGCAGACTTTCTTAGGATTAGGCCAAACTAGTGATACTTATTACATTTTGGAGTTGATTCCAGAAGAATATCCTCAAGCCTAAACTCTTAACATGAAATAAAAAGATTTTAGGCATCATTAGTACAGATCAAACGAAAATAGGGCAATATGCCTCAGCTTTCTACTGTAATCTTATATGGAACGAGTAATAGTAAAAAGTTGAGGTATCTGGTGGATGTATCAATGAGAAGCCTACATAACCAGGAAACGCTGAAGAAAAATTCTGGTTGAATCGTCTAATTAAGGTATTTTATGGCACAAAGTGTTAGCATCATAAGGAGTTTGTGCAAAATGCTTACAGTGAATCGGCAAACGTCTTGACCCGCGGGATTGCTGGCGACAGCGGCATAGACTCCGGAGTTGTCAAGGCCAAGTTTTAAGAATGTGATGTGCACTTGGTCGCCCAACTGAAATGAGACAGTACAGAAAAGTGTCGATCATCTTAATATATTCGTGGTTGCGGATATGTGGTGAAAAGTATCCATGAAAAAGTCCGATAGAAAAGTGGTGGACAAACAACAACCTGCTTTTGGCATAAAAGATAATTGTCGAGACATTACTAACTTCTTCTTATTCCTGCAAAAAGTTAAGGGCACCTGACTTCAGTCTTAAGCAATTGAAACCTAAAAATAAAATCTCTTAAGAAGCGAAGTTGGTTAAAAAAATAGCATATTTGCCGAGAGCCGGGTGACTAGTTTGTTTGAGGATGCTCTCATTTGCGAAGGATGAAAGACTCAGCTTACACGTCTCACTTCTGAGGATTAGAACGACAAAACAAATAGCTTTTGACCCTAATGGCAACCATCCAATCGTGCCTATTTAGACGAATTGCATGACGTATTTGTATGATAGGATTCCCAAATAAGCCTATAACGAGGAAAGTGAAAGAGAATGGATCATGCTTACCGTTTTTACGGATTATAAATGGCAATCATTAAATAATTCATTAGATAATTATACAAGATTATATCGTGGATGCTTATTGTTGTGCCTCGAGAAGGCAGCTTCCTCAGATCTCTGAATCAGATCTGATAAAGTATGTTGTTTTTTTTGGTTAAAATTGATACAACCTATACCTGAAGTTAGAGTGACAGATTGCAAATGGCAACCAAATGTATAGAGAATGATATTCTAGGGTCATGGGAAAAAAGACTAAACTTGTTTATGCGCTAATTGTATATGCCTAAAAGTAAAGACCTAAGTTAAGATGATATTTAAATGCGGCCTTCAGGCAATCGTAAAACCGTCATAAAATACCTTATTCTAGGATAGAAGGGCCTATAATAGAAAATATTTTAAAAATTGTAGTCATTCGCATTGAAGGTTGTGTGGGCAAATAAGAGCCTTCTAGTTAAGTACAATTGAGCACTCTTTTTACAATCTTCAAAGGCTTAAACTGGGTCACAGTCTTCTAGCATTTCAGTGATTGTCGAATTTTGCCTTTAATTAGAATTCATTGCTATCCTTCAGCTACCATTTCGGGACGATGACAGCCAGTAGTAGTGTCTAGACCGAGACTGCTGCGCATATTAAGGGCCGGCCCATCAGACATCTTATTTTGTTACCATTTTGTCACTGCGGTAAAGCACGAAACATTTAGTTCAAATCGTTTCTGGGATTTAGGGGGAATGTGTGATTGAGATTGCATTTGCACTGTATGGTTACCCATTTCTGGCATACGCAGATATTTTCGAAGTAGTAACACATGCTACGTTCTGAAAACATGATTTTTTTTCTGAACATTGTATAAATCAGAGATTCGTTTAAAAGTAGAATGTTTAGTCGCAGTATCCTATGAGTAAATCCAAATGCTTCATTAACTTGAATGGTAAAAAACAGGACTAGGTATCAGCATTTTACTTTATACGGATGATAAAATTAACTTTCATCCATCTAGAGCACATTAGATATCAATTTTCATAGAATGATTGTTGCATAGCCCTTGTTAATATTTGAAGGTTTTATCAACAATTCTGTGGAAATGCATATGTAGTACGTATTTTTAGGGTTGAAATATAGGCCCGGTTGTGAGTCTTGTAAAAATAGGTATGCTTTTCAGCCCCTTCAAATTAATTGATCTTTCAAAATACTAAAAAATTAATTCTAAAATAGTTAGCTTTTCTTTTCAGTTTACTCTTAATACCTATTCTAACCTGAGTAAAATATCCAAAACATTCACTAAAGGCACAAATTTGGAGGTGTTTTCAACCAAGAAATATCTCACGAAGTATCAAATGGACTCCTAATCCAACTAATCCCAAATAAGTGCCCGAACTTGAGCCTAGTTGATGAGCTTTCTACACATTGTAACAGTTGTATGACCTCGGTGAACGTTTTACAGTTAACTCACATGGGAGGTACGAATAAGAGATGAGGGTTTGAGAGGCGCGTCGTTGTAGTACCAAGCCACCTGAGGCGCCGGTTCGCCGACCACACGGGACTGAAGACTGTTAGTACCTCCGATTTGAGTGATCAAGTGCTCTGGGAAGCGATCCGTAAAATGTGCAGGGACCATCGGCTTGAATTGAGCACTGAGGGCCAAATATATTTACAAAATAAAACCATGTATATTAGTCACAATAAAGTTAAAGAAATTAAATATTCAATAGAAGCAAAGAGCTGAGGACACTTGTCATTTAAACGTAGAATTCAATTTACTTTGAGACGAGCATATTGTATCAGCGCTATTTTAATGACAGAAATTGAGGAAAAAGCCATGTTTTAAAAGTAGCTCTTTAATCTGCATCAAATCCCTTTAAAGGGCCTTTCCCATCTGTGAGGAAATTAGCCGAAGCCCATTTAGCGTGGACCAATCTTCTTCTGCAGAAGTCATTGACATGTTTGCGTTTGAAGAATAATTCCAACGAATGAATTTAATTCACTAGGGTTTATTTATGCAAGACATTTGCTTCTCCAACCACCCAAATTTCAAGCCTATTTTTTCTGAAAAAACCGAGAACGG